AAAAAAAAAAAAAAAAAAAAAAAAAAAAAAAAAAAAAAAAAAAGAAGAAGAAAAAATAATTATGAAGTGGAGTATTTCTCCTTTTTGGATTCTCTTGCTGGTTTTATTTTCATAAGGATGAACACAGTCAGTGTTCAAGGAGATAAATCACCTGACACAAATGCGGGTATCTTTAGGTTTGCTTTATTAACAACTCAGAGTTGGGCCAGCACCCCAAATGTGTGGCAACTGAATTCCAAGTCCTTGCAGGTTTCATACCTTTTCTTTATCAATACACAGAGTCCAAAGTCTTTGTAAATCTTCACTCAACCTTTCAGTTTTTCATATAAGTCCACTCACAATCCCCTTATTCAGCTGGGTTCGTCTTTTCTCGCTCCAATTCTTGGTTTTGGGTCATCTCCAGGTCATTGTTTACAAAATTATCTTTTCTACTAGTCCGATATGGTTACAATTCTGAGAACTTCTTACATCAAGTACTTATAAGGCACAAAGTTATTTAAGACTTAAGCAATAAGTAAACTTCAAACAATCCTAATTCTAATCTTATTTCCCTATGCTCAGCACACCTGTTATTAATTAATCACTGTTATTTTCTTTTGTTTTCCTACATGATCTGCACAACTGGGTTTTAAACCAATCCTGGGAGGGTCTATACAAAGGACAAGGCTAAGAACATTTTCTTGGCTTTTAGAGCAGCTTATTCATCTCTAAAATTTTAATACAGTCAGCATGATCTTATACAAGAGAAGGAAAAAGAAGTGCTGTATACAAAAAGGTGCAGCTCCCAAGAATGACATTTTCTGACAGTCCATCTCTTAGATCCAGACCTATTCAGTTCAGAACAGACCTTTAAACCTTGTCAATTAATTAACTATAGAAAGACTGCCAGTGGTGGTCATGAACATATCCTTTATATCAGTAATTATCCATTATAGATAAATTAAGTCACCATTAGCACTTTGTAGCCTTTGTATAATTGCTTTATATAGAGATTTATATGAGAATGCACTTCAGAAATATATTTTAGAGTAATTGAGAATAAATCTAGTAGATAACTGGGTAGACCCTTAACAGAGAAGGAACAAGCCTGTGGATTGTTTTATAGATTAGCACCCACCAATAACAAAAAAAAAAACCACCCACCATCTGAAGTTAGGACAAATGAAATCTTGCAAATCAAGCAACTGTCACACCTTCTCTAGCTGTAGGACTCATCGCTTATGTAGAAAAGGATCTCATTTATCTGATTCAGTCAGAAAGCTTTGTCTTCTTACCCTGTCGTCCCTTCCACATGTTAAAATACGTATGTACATAAAGCAGTTTATAACCACAGAGTGCATCTCTGTTTATGTTCTATAATGTAAACTCTGTGTGTATAAACCACAGAAACGATGCATGTAGATTTCTTTATCAGATGTTCTATTGAATTTATGTAAATGTGGCAAATGTAAATGTCACCAAATGTTTAATTCTGGTACAGGAATAACTTTTTTGTATTATAATTGATTCCTTTAGTATGTCATTAAAAAAAAAAAAAACAACAGAGGGACAAAAGTGAAGCACAGGCTTAATTTTTTTTTTCTCTCATTTGAGGTGCTCACAAAGGTGTATTTTTTCCATTTCTATTATGTTATTTGAAAGTTAGTGCCTATTAGCTTAAATTTCTTTAAAACTTGATGATTAGGGAACATGTATATATAAAATAAGTATATAATAGGTACATAATATTATATGTGTGTGTGTGATTTATATATATATACATACAAATATATATATATATATAGGGACTACAGTATCAGTGGTTGAAATTCACCAAAGAAAATACATTGAACTCCCAATATTCAAGCCAAATCAGTTCAAGTAATTCTTACAGAAGGTATCTTTACAGTTTTGGAAAGCAGTGTTACAATAGATTACAGAGATCTGTTTTGTCCAAAGATACCTGTAATTGTTGCCATCTGATTATAACATACAGACAAGACAAAATTTCCAAGTGTTACTTAAATTGGTCTTAAGCATCCTCTTGCCTGTGTCCTGACCATAAAATATTGCATTTTGGATAAGCTATTGCAGTGGGTGTCCTGTGCATATTTTCAGGGACATAAAGCCATTTATTTAGAACAATCTTGCAATACACTAATCTTCAAGATATAGCCACCTTAAAGATGTGTTAAGCCAAATTAAATTTATTGTGTAATCAACTTCATGCAATATAAACAAAAGTCTGCATTCTTATAAATATCTGCTACAGATAGATCTTGCTATTTTTTAAGTAATGGATTAATCCAAATTTAAACAGCTGTGACAGAAGGACAGAAAAGAAATTTTAAAAACATCATAAAAAATTCCCACGCTATAGAATATATACAAAATCCCAGCACCTATTCCCTTTTCACCCCAAACCAGGTAAGAAAATACTTAAAATAAGTTGTGGGTTTACAGATAAATTGCCCAAAGCCATGCAATCACTTTATTTTATTTTTTTTATAGCTACGACAAACAGTCCTTGCTGTTCAGCATTGTTATGTATGATACATATATAGACATGGTACCTGACTCAAAAAAAAGTCAAGCACTTAGTAGCTGGTTCATTGATACAAACATGAGCCAAAATTAAGAGATAGCAAATAAATAAAAAAAGTCCTAAAACATTTTTTGTTTTCTTTCTAAATTTGGTTCATCATTCTCATGAAGGCGAACCTGTAACCCTTCAGAATTTAAGAGCTGGAGAGAAATACACCAACTGTAAAGACTGAATGAGTATTTGAAAGGTGAATTGCACACAAAAATGTTTAAAGGAGTTAGGGGATAAAATGGCAGGAGGATTACAGCCATCGTAACTGTCTCCTAGGCTTTATTTTCTTTCCATTAGTATGCATCTGCTATGTAAATGTGCATTAAACCTTGAGAACATATCGACTGATTACAAATATCTTTTAAAATGTGTTATTTATACTTTTTATATTGTCCCATCATCCATAACTTGAACAGGAATGCAATGAGTTTGTTTTAAAATGCACTAATTTTATGAAAAGATCTCCTAAAAATTCTATCTCTCTCATTAAAACTTTGTGTAATAAACTGCCACATTATAGATATTCAATAATTTTCCTTCTTTTCTCCAACACTTTTTGTTAGAAACTATTTAAAATCCTGCTTGTTGCAAGATGATAATAGTAATAATGATAATATCTAAAAATGTATGAGCATAGATGTTTCAAAACTTCTTTAATTTACGGTTTTCATCCATTTTTAACACTTTGCACAGCCAATGCTCTTCTTTACTAAACTTCGCATTAAAACTTTTTTTTTCCCTCTACTGGGCAAAAAAAGTCTAGTTTGACACTTCCTGTTTATTTTGTGGCACAACAGCCGTTTCAAGACCTCAAAACTGTCCAGCAGGTAGAAGGCACTTTCGATTCTTTTGCTGCCCCGCATTGGAGTGAGCCAGCTCCCACCTCAGCCCTTCCCCCAGCCCACCACAATCTTTCACTCATTTTTATCTGTGCCTTTTGTTCCCTGTCATTTTATGGGTCCCATGACAGTTTTATGCTGATGGGAACTTCCCCAACAGGCTCAGACTCTGGTGCAGCCCCTCGCTGCTGCAGTTACACCAGGGACCAGGGCTCCCACTCACGTACACTGGCACCAGTATCACCCTCACCCTTCCCCAAGCAAGGCAGAGACTTCACACAGACAGAAAGCACATCCCTGGGGCAGCAAAGCGAGGCGTCCCCTTGGGTTGGAGCAATGACAACACAGAGCTGAAGCTGGGGTGGGGTTTTATGATCAGCAATTTTTTTTTTACCCTCTTAGCTTTTTCTTGTACATGGCTTCTTTTCTCCTTGTGAACCCCTCTTTGGTCCTGTCCTTTCTGTTTCTGTTCCTGCAGCCGATGGCAGGGCACACCCCCAGGCTCCACTCCCGCAGGGTGATGTAAGAGGAAAGGGAAAAAAGTGGTTTGACTGCAGTTGCTACCACATAATGACACGTCTTCACAAGCCTGCCCTTAGCAGCGCTCTTTCCTCACCCCTTAGCTGGGGAGTGAGGGCTTATACATTTCTGGTTAAAAATGTAATATTTGTGCAATGTTTTTGAAGCCTGCTTGTAAGTTTGAAAGGGTTGATAATGCTTCGTTGACAGAAAAATGAGGTTTATTCTTCTGTGCAGGAAACTCCTCCCAGTGGTGCAGCTGTCCTGTGTTGCACGAAGGCATTTCCTTCAAAGCACCCGAAGCTTGGCTCTGTGGAAAGCACAGTGGTTCGGCCTCATGTGCCACGCCACCGTGCTGTCAGAGCTTTGTCAAGGATGAAGCGCTCACAAATACCTCTGATGAGAGACTTAGTTCACAAGGTGTCAGCAAAGCTTATGCACCTTCCCTGCCAAACCCAGAAGGCTGAGAGTTCCCCCTATGGAGGAAGATAGGGGACCATGCATTCGGAGCCTTGCAGAAGACATGGCATTTGAGGACCTGGTGATCTCAAACAGGCCTTGTCTGCTCTCTTGGGCCTTGTCCTTAGGGACTGAGAAGCCTGTAT